GCTGTTTGATCGTTTCATATCTTCATGCATTATCAGCTGAAGCACACATTCATATTTCAGCATCGCTCATGTATATCCAGCCATGTCTTGTTTCTCCGGCTGCTTTATGGTTTGTAGTTTTAACGGCATGCCGTTTGTTCGTCAGAGCCGACGGTTCGAGCGGAGCTCATGGAGCAAATCCCACACATCGCCATCTTCTGTCAGGAGAACAGACCTTCCATTCCCTTCGCCTTCTCCAAGTTCCTGCTTCCCATCGTGGTGCGATACCTGTCCGACCAGAACAACCTGGTAGGTGTGAGCTGTGTGTGCTGCTGCGGTTCCTCAGGAGCGCTGATAAAGAGCCTGCTGCTGCTGCTGTGTCCCGGTCAGGTGCGTAAGACGAGTCAGGCGGCGCTGCTGGTTCTGCGGGAGCAGGAGCTGATGGAGCGAGGAGACGTGGAGAGCCTGGTGTGTCCGGTGCTGGTGGACCTGACCGCTCCCGACAGCAGCGACGACGTCAAGACCGAAGCCATGGCGGTGAGAGTCTGTGCTGCTGCAGCCGCTCGACACGTGAACATTTCTGAAAAACCCACCGTTTTTAGTAAGGAAACTAAATGTTTAAAGACCCTCAGAATACACATCATTCATTTTATTCAGATTTTTTTACAATTAAATTTCAGTTAAATTTCATGCAATGATCTGATCTTCAGATCAATATTGGAAAAAAAGATATATGTATTAGGGCTGTCGTACATGTATTAAGATGCAGGGCAACAACTCCATAACTGCAGCTATGCCCTAAAATTCAAGATATTGGTGCAAAAAATGCCCCTTTATGTGTTTTTGACTCATATTTATATCATAAAATATCGATATCACACGAGCAGCGAGAGCAGCAGGCTATTACACGAGTGCTGTTTTTGACCCGAATATCACGAGTATAAAATTCGATTTTATACAACAGTTCAGTAAGAAGTTGATATTGTGTTTACTTCATTACTGAATGAATCAGCCGTTTGAACGAATCGCGTGAACCACTGATTCAAAAGCCCATTCATAAAGAGAGCCGTTTACGTCATTACTGAATGTATCAGCCGTTTGAACGAATCGCGTGAATCAATGATTCAAAAGCCCATTCATAAAGAGAGCCGTTTACGTCATTACTGAATGAATCAGCCGTTTGAACGAATCAACTGAAGACATTTACCGCCACCTTCTGGCAGATTTAGTTTCTTATTTAGAGTATCTTTTAATTAATTAAATTAATAATAGTAATAACAATAATAATAATAAAAACATTAAAGGGATAGTTCACCCAAAAAGTTTTCCATAGTTTATGTTAGGCCATTGTAGCCTAAATGTTTGTGTAGTAATAATTTTTGTTGAATCAAATAAAATTTCTAAAGCTACAATTTGTAATGTCTACTTGATACTTTCTCATTTAACAAAAATATCTTTAAATAAACTTTTGTGGGTATTTTCACAGTCATATTTATTTTGCGATTAATTAGATTAATCGAAACATCATGTAATTAGATTAAAAATTTTAATCGACTGACAGCCCTAATATATATATTCTCACACTACCAGTCAAAAGTGTTTGAACAGTAGGTTTTTTAATGTTTTTTTTAAAGAAGTCTCTTCTGCTCAGCAAGCCTGCATTTATTTGATCAGAAATACAGCAAAAACAGTAAAATTGTGAAATATTATTATAATTTAAAACAGCTGTTTTCTGTGTGAATCTCTGTTAAACTGTAATGTATTTCTGTGATGCGCAGCTGTATTTTCAGCATCATTACTCCAGTCTTCAGTGTCACATGATCTTCAGAAATCAGTATAATATGCTGATTTGCTGCTCGAGAAACATTTCTGATTATTATCAATGTTGAAAACAGCTGAGTAGAATTTTTCAGGTTTCTTTGATGAATAGAAAGTTCAGAAGAACAGCATTTATCTGAAATAGAAATCTTTCGTAACATTATAAATGTCTTTACTGACACTTTTAATCAATTCAAAGCATCCTTGCTAAATAAAAGTATTAATTTCTATCACATTATACTGACTCCAAGCTTTTGAATGGTAGAGTGTATAATGTTACAAAAGCTTTCTATTTCAGATAAATGCTGATCTTTGGATCTTTCTATTCATCAAAGAATCCTGAAAAAAAGTACTCCGCTGCATAATTTCAACATAATAATAATCAGAAATGTGTGTTGAGCAGCAGATCAGCATATTATACTGATTTCTGAAGATCATGTGACACTGAAGACTGGAGTAATGATGCTGAAAATACAGCTGCGCATCACAGAAATACATTACAGTTTAACAGATACAGCTGTTTTACATTCTAATAATATTTCACAGTATTACTGCTTTTGCTGTATTTCTGATCAAATAAATGCAGGCTTGGTGACTAGTAGTGTATATATAAGTTATTTTTTGCATCACAGTGTTTTTGGTGTGGTTTGTGTGTAATCAGAAATTTCAAAGAATTTTTCAAAAAGGGCTAACGTTCCAGACTTCGACATTTCACATCGACTCGTTCATGAGAAGTTGCTGATTAGACTCGATATGGTTTTAGTTGAACAATATTAAGTTATGAGTGTCTTGTAGGCTAATGTTTCTCTACGATGCTTCGGAGAAACACAGCCCTGAAAGGAGACTAGAACTCTGATTTTGAAAGGGTTAAAGAGCTCATGATCGGAATATGATTGGATGTAGCTCATGTGTGTCAGTGGGACAGAAACACACTGATCTTTTTGTTTCTCATTTTTTAATCTCAGATTATTTGTAAAATGGCTCCGATGGTGGGGAAGGACGTCACCGAGCGACTCTTTCTGCCACGCTTCTGCGAGATGTGCTGCGACTGCAGGATGTTCCACGTGCGCAAGGTGCGTCAATCTGATTGGCTCAGGAGGATGACGGCTGAATCTGATTGGCTCATGCTCGTGTTCGGTCCTCTGTGCTCATCAGACGTGTGTTTGTGTCCGACAGGTTTGTGCGGCGAACTTCGGAGACGTCTGCAGTGTGGTCGGAGGAGAGGCGACGGAGGAGCTGCTGGTACGTTCAGTTCAGGGGAGACGGCGGGGCAAGTTGTCACGCAGCTTAGAGGTTTAAAGTCAAACAAGTGCTTGTTTTCTCTAGCGGCAAGATATTTATGTATGTTTTTTTTTGTTTGCTTCTGTATTCTATAGTAGTTTTTATGTTTTGCTTTGCTCAGCGTTGTAGGCTGTAAAGTGTGTGTCTGTGTAGAAACACTGAGACGGTGAGACGGTGTTGGAAAGGGCCGTCTCAGGTGATGTTATGGGCTGTGTTGCTCTCTTCTGTCAGCTGCCGCGCTTCTTCCAGCTGTGCTCTGATAACGTGTGGGGCGTGAGGAAGGCTTGCGCCGAGTGCTTCATGACCGTCTCCTCGGCCTCATCTGCAGAAGTGCGGCGCAGCAAACTCTCGTCTCTGTTCATCAGTCTGATCAGCGACCCGTCGCGCTGGGTACGTCATCAAACACTGCATTTACTGCTTTATTTATTTTGTTATTATTCCCACACTTTTCTGGATTGCATTTAAATGCTTGAAAAGTAAATGTTAGTAATCAGAAAGCATGTCTAATTAATTTAAATCATGAAAACTATACAAATTAACAATTATTTAATAAGTTTAACAAAAACTCGATTTTGATCAAATTGAGATTTTGAAACAATTACATTTTAACACTCTTATTTAAATCTTTTTCCAACTTCCATGTTTTCTGTTTTAATTTTTCTCCATTGCATTTTAATGGTTAAATGTTAATATTCATAAAGCTTGTCTAATTAATTGAAATCCTGAAACTTATATGTGAGCCTGCAGCACAAAAGCAGTCTTAAGTCGCTGGGGTATATTTGTAGCAATAGCTAACAATACATTGTATGGGTCAAAATTTTACATTTTTCTTTTATGTCAAAAATCATTACAATATTAAGTAAAGATCGTGTTCCATGAAGATATTTTGTAAATTTCCTACTGTAAATATATCAAAACTTAATGTTTGATTAGTAATATGCATTGCTAAGAACTTCATTTGGACAACTTTAAAGATGATTTTCTCAATATTTAGATTTTTTTGCACCCTCAGATTCCAGATTTTCAAATAGTTGTATCTCAGCCAAATATTGTTCTATTAATATGGAGAGCTTATTTATTCAGATGATGTATAAATCTCAATTCCAGAAAATTGACCCTCATGACTGGTTTTGTGCTCCAGGGTCACGTACAATTTAAAAACAATGTAATAAGTTGAACAAGCTAAATTTTTAGGGCCCTTTGAAATCTTTTTCGCAAATTCCGTTTTATTTTGTTTCTGCATTTTCGGTGTAAATTTTTCTGTGTTACATTGTAATGATTTAATGAAATTTTAATAATCAGTATAATGTTTAATCACTAGGGTTTGGGTTTTTATTTAATATTTTAATAATTTAACAATTTATTACAATTTTAGGGCCCTATGAAATATGCAAATGGATTTAGTTTTTTTTTTTTTAGTTTTTTTTCCAGAAATTGTTTTAATATTTCTGGATTCTGTTTTTTTTTTTTTTTTTTACTTCATACGAATTTATGATTAAAAAAAATGCATAAAACTAATAATTTAAAATGTGAGCAAAAATAAAATCAATTTATTTTTAATAAATTGAATTAAATTAAAACAAGGATAAAAAATTGTGGTATTACCATTTTATTATTACTTTTTACTTCTTATACATCCTACTCTTACACCAAACTTTTATTTTGATGGAATGAAGTGAAGGGGTTTGTTTTCTGTTTGAATATAGTTTTCACAAATTAAATGCAAAAGTGTCTTTCACAGCAGCGCTGGAGATCACATCACACACGTTATGCAGTAAATGCCATTTGTAGGCCTAGATGGAGTGGTTTCTGTGTTACTGAGGTGTGCTGTGCTCACAGGTGCGTCAGGCTGCGTTTCAGTCGCTCGGGCCGTTCATCTCCACCTTCGCCAGCTCCAGCAGTAAGCACTCACTCACACACACAAACACTCACTCACACTCACTCACTCACACAAACACACACTCACTCACTCACTCATGTGTGTTTGACTCGTCCAGCTCAAACACAGACGCCGCTGATGGAGGAGAGCAGACGGCCGAGAGACTGAGCGCAGATGAGTCTTGCTGCCTTCCTTCATCAGACGAGATCCCGGAGCAGGAGCTCTTCAACTCCTTCCACTACTGGAGGACCCCCATCCCTCAGATCCAGCTGGAGCTGCTGCAGGAGGAGGACAGACGGCCCTCGGCCCCAGCGCTGGGCAGAACACAGCTGCAGGAGCTCATCGAGAACCTGGAGCCACACACCGACGACCCCGACGTCAAAGGTGAGCTGACCAGGATTTCAGAACTCCATTAAGCCAAAGTTTATGTAATCAGTTCATTTGAGTTATATGTGTCCCTGCAGCACAAAAGCAGTGTTAAGTCGCTGGGGTATATTTGTAGCAATAGCCAACAATACATTGTATGGGTCA